TTATTTCTTTAAACGATAACAATTACAGAATGTAATGATATGAAACAGTAAATCATTATCAAGAGGCAACATTATATTAATATTAAAAACGCAAACATATGTAGGTACATACATATGTGCGTGTGTGTGTGTATGTTTGTTACTCCTTCACGCTGAAATGCCTAAACAGATTTGGACGAAACTTAACACGCACATAGACTACTGGAGTAACCAATAGGCTTATGGTAGGCTTAGGGGCAAAGCGAGGGTAAATAGCTTGTTTTTATCGTAAAAATGTTAATTAATCGACAAGTGCCAACACTAAAAGCAAAATGTTATATGGTGGTTGTAGATTAGTCCCCCTCCCCACTTATCCGAATCAATCTGGGACGCAAACTCGTTTAATTTAGCGTTCAATTCTCTATTAGCGACTCATTATTTTAACTTAAAGGGTAATATAGAGCTGAGCGTCGCGCACATTGGCGCTCGAGGAAATGTTGCTGAATTACAGTTTTATTGGTTCATTTTGTGGCACTTTTATATGTAAATTTAATCAATTTATGTAATTTTCTTCATTAGTGTGTCTAGAATATGCTCTGAATCCATATTTTGTAATACACAAGTTTAATATTTTTATTAGGTTATCCTTCAATAAAAGTCAAATAAAAATTATCAGTGTTTCATATAAAAACTATCCAATAAACATTACACAGTAATTAATCAATACATGATTAATGAAGCCGATCGACTGTTTCAGGGCAGTGATATAACAATTAACAACATTGTGCGCAGAGCGCTAGCGCAGGATAGTCGATTAGATCTCGTAATGTTTGCGGCGAGGCCGTAATTATATAGTTTAACTCTCAAAGTGAACAGATGAGATGACGTTCAAACACATTTCATTTATAAACATATATATATATACATATATATATATATACACATATATATATACATATATATATATATACATATATGCATATGTATCATTTATATATATTTATTCGTTTATTAGAAAGCTTTGACATTTCTCATTGCCTTATTAGAAGTTTAGTGATCTATGGATTATAATATTACTAGCGGACCCGACAGACGTTGAGACGTCTACACGTCTTTAATTTGAAAATTTCAAACTTTTTTTAATAATTTTTTTGATGAAAATTATTATTCAAATTGTGAATCTAAACCATTCCCAGATCCCCTTGAACACACACAAAAAAATTCATCAAAATCGGTCCAGTCGTTTGAGAGAAGTTCAGTGACATACACACTCACAGAAGAATTATATACATAAAGATATACCAATACCTGTTACATATTTTTAGTTGATATCAAGTAAAAATAATTAATTATAATAACAAAAATATGATAATTTCTTATTGCATCATAAAATGTTAAAATATTGCTTCTCTATTTAAAGTTTTTAAATATGGATAGGTATAAGAAGAAAATATCTAGATAAAGAAAAAATAAAATACTTATTCAAAATATATTAGAAGTTGAATTATTATCTATAGGTACATATAATAAAATTGTAACTAAGTCGTATCTGTACATTAAATATTTTTTGGAGAATCTTATTGAAATAAACATTATTATCGATACAGAGGCCGAATCTATAGTTTTTAGAATTTTTGTCTGTCTGCCTGTCTGTTACCGCATCACAGAAAAACCACTGGAGGGATTTTGATGAAATTTGGTATGATGATAGCTGGTTATCCGGTGAGAAAAAATACAAAAACTACATTGTAAGAGTATACTAATATGTGAAACCTAAGAATTTAGATTTTGGTCATCTGAACGCGGGCGGAGCCGCGAGCAATGCTAGTCATATACTAAGAATAGTTAGATTGGTATAGATTCCTTACCTACTGACATTTAATCTTTTTAATAATCTAAAAAGCTACGATTCAAAAGTGCTTGTAAAAGTCTATTTGAATAAAGTATATTTTGATTTGATTTGTTTTTAGTTTTTATTTCAAATGGCTAGGTATGCGTATTTACAATTTCAATTTAATGCACGTTACGTGTAAAATTAAATTCATATCGTATCAAAGATCTTTTATACTCTAAAACAATTACTGTAATGAAAAATTATTACCTGTCATTGGAAAATTTAATGGGTTTAAAATGGTGTTTAAGTGAATACCTTCGCGTGGAGGCGAGCGGGACTCTACATAAATATTCAAATTCAATCTGAGTGATGAACCGGAAATATATACTTATGGATATTCAAATTTTAATATTTCGATTGTTTTTTCGAAGTGACCTCTACATTTATTATAAGTTGGTGTAAGTTTTTTTGTTTTACAGTGATATTTTTTATACTGTATGTTTCAGGAATTTACCGATTTTGATAAAACACGATTTTAAGACACACCGCTCTACTTAAATTAGCTTACTATTATAATTTATTAACCCTAGTGATAGGGTAGGAGAAATGCTCATTTTTTAACGTTTTCTTTCATGACTATTTAGCTATGCTTAAAAACATAAATATATATTAATTTGATAGAGTAGGCCAAGAGTGTATGAATAATGGACGGACGAGCAGACAGACAGATAGACAGACAGACAGACAGACAGACACACTCTATTTTAGGAAGGGATATAAAAAGATTGAGGTGATCACTTAGTAGTTTAGTATTTTTTTATAACAAAATAGTTAAGTCAATTACTAAGTATCGTGAGATTACAATTAAATCTTCATTTTCACCTAGGTACCTATACCTACCTATAGACCGTTGTATTCAGTGGCATCGTAAAGTTGTGTGAAACTTTGGTCGCACCAGCCTATTTACATCCTTAGGCGAGAAATCCACACTTTTGTCAACAAACAAAATTTTCCAACTTATCCTATTTTTGCTAATTTCAAGACTCATTGAAGCAAAAGATATCCTAGTGGTAGTGTGGGGATCTTGTTCATCGCAGGGATCCAAAGGCTATAGAGACTAAAATAATGATTATTTCCATATTATCTCCAAAACTTTAAAAAGTTAAAACGTAAAATTTACTTTAAATTTTAAAACATTTTGGAAGTATTAATTAAGATCTTAACTTGATAAGTGACATTTATTTGGTCTGATTTTTCAGTCCGCCATTAAGTAATCACGGTGCATCGTTTCATTACGCGATTGCAGTTGAATATTTAACGAGTCGCAGTCGAGTAATTACTTTTAAAATATACTTTATTGAACAGTTTACTTTCCATGATGTTTGCAGACACGATGCGGGAAATGAGCTTAAAATTGTACACGAGCAGTTTATTGAAATATTATATTTATTTTTTATCATTTGTATATTTTTTATTATATGTAATTAAAAAGTCATACTTTAAGCATATTACGTGATTGTTTGTTCATTCAAGACTACATTGTTTTCTGCTTTGTTATCTATACATATAATAAAATTGTAACTAAGCCAAATTTATACATTAGATTTGTTTTGGAAAATCTTATTGAAATAGACATCATTATCGATACAGAGGTCAAATCTATGGTTTTTAGATATTTTTTGTCTGTATGTCTGGTAACGCATCACACAAAAACTACTGGATGGATTTTGATGAAATTTGGTATGGTGATAGCTGGTTATCCGGGTCAACATATAGGATACTTTTTACCGCGGGAAAATATCTCATTTCTAAGAAAAAATACAAAAACTGCCACGTAAGAGTATACTAATATGTAAAACCTAAGAATTTGGCTTTTGGTCATCTGAAAGCGGGCGGAGCCGCGGGTAATGCTAGTAATTTTAATAAAATAGCTTTTTACTGCTTATATCAAAACCTCGATTTCTTAAAATAAATGGTTAAAATAAAAAAAGTAATATAATTTTCTATTTAAAACTAGAAATGATTACATTTGAACGAATTCAAAAGACGCCGGGAACGTCGGATAACAAGGTGCTAATGGCGCTAACTTTAAAAAAGCCGGTCAAAAGCTAATGTAGTTTTGTCTAAGCTACTCGTTATTCTCTAAGTTAACCCTCTAACGCGACGCCACTGAACAAAAGAACCTTCACAAAAGACCCGCGAAGAAAAAAATACTGCTGTACGATTGGTCGATACGCCGTGACGTCACGCTGGCCCCGCCCCCTAGCAACCGTCGCTAAACTGAGATGAGAGGGAGCAAGACAAGCATCTGTAAAAACGGGACGGATGTAATATTGATGGTAGGTTCTCCAACTTTAAAAGAACTCAAGCTTTGAGTTAACATTCTTACAATTTAGACTTTATTATATTCGGTTACAGTTCCTTTTGTGATGTTGATGAGGATTTTAAAAGATGTATTGAAGCGGTCAATCGTGAAAGCTGTTATTGTTGGGTTACCGGTTTACCGATTTGGTTAAATTTGTGTGTTAACAGACAGATGCCCGTCTGTTTGCTCGCTCTGACTCGCTCCATTGTGCTCTATCTACCAATTGAACGAGTAATTGCCTCTCTGATTAATTTGAATTCAATTACATCAATCACCTTTCAAGTTTGCCTTTTCATTTGTCGATTTCAGTTGCGTAATTATTTATCTTCTTTATGAGATAGAGGGGATATACTTATAAAGGATAATCTTTAGTTATCAATAAAAATAGTACTAACTTTAATTTTGTATTTTGGAATTATGTATTCAAGAGTTTTGAGACTTCAATCAGATTTTACCCAAAATACAGTTTTATAAAACGAACAACAGTTCTTATCAAAACAGTCATCAAAAAATCTTTATTCAATTTAGTGATCACAAACTAAACAGTAACAAGTCAGATGCTTCTAAGAATACGATCAGCTAACACTCGACACAATCGGCCCAATCAGAGGTGAAAAACACTATTGAACGCCTCAATAGCGCAAGGAACTCCCGAGGGGAAAATGCTAATAGCGCCTCGCGCCTTGCCAAACAAAATCACTTCGCGACCCGAAAATTCGCACTTTCAATGGGCAATTTCACCCCCACCCCTAGCTCCGCCCCTTTCACAACCCCGACCAAGCTCCGGGCGCCTCGTCAGTCACGCTCGTCCGCCCGAGCAAGATGGACGTTTCAGAGGACCGATTTTACGGCTCCCAGACGCCGGACCGATCCGAGACGAACAGCCCGCGATCGCAAATGAGTAGTCCCAACTCGACCTCGTCGATAAACGTCACGGACCAGTCCATTTCAATGTCACAGCATCAGCAAAATTTGGAAACTCTAAATCGCATGGGGATGTTCTTCCACGCTCAACAGATGCATCTCAATCAGAGTTTTGATGTTGTAAAGTCCAGGTTAGGTTTGACCCAAGTGCCTAATGGAAACCAGGGGCCGCGGCATACGATAGACGCAATATTGGGGTTGAATGGGGGTAGGCAAAGAGTGCAGAGTGATTTCGAGGCGAGAAAAGAAGATCGGGAGCGAGAGTGTGATGCTGTGCCCGTGTCACCTGGAGCCGTGGAAAGTGCGGGTGAGTTTTTGGTTTCTTTAAGCAACAATCTGTTTTGTTACACATTCAGTTTTACTTCGTGAAATCTATTTACTAATCTGCTGTCTGTTCGTGTTTGCTTTTTGCAACTCTAAAGGGTAAATGATATATTTAGGTTTACTATATATAGGCAGGGTTTTGGAATTGTAAAAAGATAAAATATGAACTATTACTTCTTATATACATTTGTTAATTATAACAAACGATATTAAATTTTTAATATCTGTAGATTTCTATTTCAAAATTAGTACCTTAAACGTCAAACCATCACACATACATAATATTTCTGATCTCTATCTAACTTAGTATTTACCAAAGAACACTATTTTGTATTTTTTAAAGGCTAGTTTTATTTCATATGTGTAGATTATAGGTACTTTTATATTCAACAGTGTCTAGAACCTATAGCGGTAAAGGGAGTTGCCGTCGGAAGAAACCTAATTGCATTAGATAATGCCAAAAATATATATCTATCTATAAAAATATTGTAACGTTGTACTAATATTGAATATTTGTTTTATTTATTTTATTTCTTTGATTTATTTGTTTTTTTTTTATTTCCGTCTGTCTTCGAATAACGTGCATTTAAACTTATTATGTATATATGTCCTCTGATGGTATACCTGCATTAGTCAGATTCTTAAATTAAAAATATGCCAATGTACCAATTTAAATTTTAGTTCAATCATTTGAATTGCTTCATTGACTCATCGCACAGTTAGAGGCAACCGACACTGGGTATTTATTAAATTAATAACATTCCAAGTTGTTATGAAAGTTACTATCACAGTAGTTGCGGCTACTTTGTATACGAATGCATTATGTAGAACAGTCCCCTGTTATGATTAATTCATACTTATTCTTATCTGTAGTTATTGTAGCGTAACTCATTGAATATTATTTTGTTAGCCGATTGCAGAATGATGTTTTAACACTTATAGAATTCGATTGTAAATTACTTTGATAAATTGATTTTAATAACTTTATATATCAAAATTATATCTTTTTGCCATCGCTTGATTAAATACCGACGTAGAAGCTCTTTGCACTGTTAACAATTAGTCCTATAAACGCTATGGAATCTTTAATATTCATTCAAAACTATTAAAAGAGAGAAAAATCCTAGGTATTTTAAGCTATCACGATAAGTACTTACATAATATTATGTGTAAATTATAAGTCTTAACTTTAACTTATTAGTCTCGACTCATATATAAATATTAACTATTTGTATAATATCCGATGGATACATTCTACGATATTGGCCGAGATAGAAAGCAGAGTCAACTTAGTCGTTATAAGAATCAGAATCTGTTACTATCACAAATAATATTACAACTGTTCATAAATATTTATCTTTCCCTAGATTATGATCACATTATGTGTGTATGTATATATTGTATATCTCTTATATAACGTATGATTTTATAAAATGCTTAATTTTTCCTTATAATTTAAATTTTGCCGGAAAAAAACAACATGTTATTGTAAAATTATTACTAATAAATATTTTTGTGGTTTCCATTTCGATTGATTATGGTTTATATAACTCGATATCTTTAATTTAGTAGTTTTTATTTCAGTTATTCAATTTAAACTTTGGAATTAGAATTTATTTCTTATATTAGAGTATAAAGTGATGTAAAAATTATAATTAACCCTTCAAATCAAAATTTATAATATTGTTTGTTAGGAAATAATAATAATTTTACTTTATTATCATCGCAGTACTGCAAATTGTTCCTATGTAGGTACTTTCCAGACGGGTAGAGTACCTACAAAGCGCGTAAATTTAATAACATCGGTGGGCGTTCCGAGCGCTGCGGACCTTTTAAAACACCTTCATACATAAATACTATGTAACATATTATATATTATGCATGTATATCCTGAATAATATTCAATTTCGCTATCAAAATGTTAGTGTAGGTACTTTGATTTATTAAGTTAGGTATATATTACTTAAATAATTATATATAAATTAATAAAATATAACATAATAAATTTTTCTTCCTACTAAATAAATTGCATTATAAATGATTTTTCATGGGTTGTAAAAATTACTATGTTCATCCTGAGCCAGATTTCAACGCTTAGGTACTTTTACCTATACATAGCAAGCTCTAGCTTATAAGCTAGATTTAGCGCTCTCAGAGATTAGTCCGAACGATAGATATTTCAAATACCTACTATGATCGCGATAATGTTATTTATATTATCTCTTGTTCTCAATAAATACATGAATAAAATCGCTTACTTCTTCATTTTCATTTTATCTTTTGTATAATATAGGCTAGTTTTCGCTCAGTCGTTGAAATTTGTCCATGATATTTTTTATTGATAAAGCTCGTACATACAAACTACTACTAAACAAAAAAAAGAGAAAATGAGTTAAGAATCAGGGTATAAAAGGTACTGAATTAAAAAATTAAGTAATTTAATTTTCACTTATACGTAGACACTAGGTAACCTATACCTTATAGATATCAGAATTACGGTAAAGTAGCTACGTCGATAAAAACAAACCCACATTCATTCACGCTCTAATTTTTTTCTATATTTTATAACTAGTCAAATCTGTTAAATTGTTACAACGTAAGGACGTAACGAACATAAACAATCATATATTGTATACTTATTTACTTGTATATTTTATATATTATACTTATATGTTTAATATTAGAATGTTGATCATATATATTTCGCATCGAGTCAAGAAATACACACAAACAGGTAGAGACGGATGTGTCGTTTTATTAATTACCAGATACTCAATTCAAGTGTCGTGACTACTTTTCATTATAATAGCCAATTGGTAGATTAATTTGTTAAGGCATTTACAATATATTAAGGCAACCAAAAGATCTAGATAAAATATTTATTATAAAATATATACTAACTCTATATATACTTGTTTGCTCTCTTGTTTTTCATGTTTAGGAATATTACCGAATTGAACAAATAAATAACTGAAACTTACAAATAAAATAATAGATATATTTAGGTATCTAATTATTTAATAAATTGCTTAAAACATTTTTTAAAGAAGTTACTGTGTTTATATTATAACTTTAGAAAAATTAGAATTAGTATGTGAATCCACAAAGATTTTTTAGACATGACTGTTTTTTTTTAAATTACCTTTATATTATTTAATATTATATATTAATATGTAATTATATATTACTTACGTTAATTCAGCTAAATCGTCTAACTACAGCTTTTGCTCTTACGTGGCAGGAGATTCTTATTACTCCGGAATAAATAATAATAATAAATATGTCAGGACATTAACACACAACACCATCTAGTTCCATGGTAAGCTACGAGGCTTGTGTTATGGATACCAGATAGTTGATACATTATACATATATAACTTTAAATACATACATATTATAAACATAAGCATCCATGACTGGAGTACAAAAATTCGTGCTCATCACACAAATGAATTCCCCCAGCGGGACTCGAACCCGCGAACACTGGCGCAGCAAGTAGGGTCACTACAAACTGAGCCAAACGTGTCGTCTAATAAAAATATATCTAAAATTGCTAATTTAAGTAAAAACCAGCGTATGACGTCTTACAAGTAGGTAGTATTAATTGTAGTTTTTTTTTCTCTCATAAATATATTTTCTTATCAAGCACACAGTCGACTTTCAGAATATGTAAAGAAATGATCAAATCGTATGATACCTATAATTTTTTTCGTTATTCGGGGGCGGAAATGAGACCTTATCGATACCCATCCTTTAATCGAAATCCATCCAGCCGTTTCAGGAGTAACAAACAAACAAATACACACATATTATAGTCTATTACATTTTTAATAGGGGTTCGATTAACAAAATCAATAAATATTTAATATTCCAAACTCCGCGTAACGTAGTGGACTCTAGCGAAAAAATAGTTGTTTCTTTATCTATATAGCCATGTCAATCAAAAGTGGTTAACACACTGTGCCATTTTTTTCATTTAATTCTGTTACATGTTAACTTTTTATTCAGCGATTTTCATATCTCGATAGAGTTATAATTTAACTATTTTTAATAATATTTATTTACTTATCACTCAGCATACAAATGGTCATTTGTACCTATACTGTTTTGAAACATGATTGTTTGGCTTCAGGTTTAGTTCTACGACACTGTGTATATTATTCCTTAGTCTGAGTATTAAACACATATGAGTAATATTATAAATATGTAAGTATGTATATGTATGTATATATGTTTGTTACTCCTTCACGCCGAAACATCTGGACGGATTTAGATTAATTTGTGAATAGCTTATTTTGCGCCTATTGTCAAGAAATGTAACTTAATATGCTAATAAACTTTTATTTTATTTTTATTATTATTAATAGATTATTGCCTGCAGTGACATATAAGGCAGAGTTTAAGCAGTAAATAAGTAAATTATAAGTAGCTTTTGATATTGAATCCATACTTTGTGTCCGTATTTTGCTCGTTTACACGCATCGACGCCTCCGTCAATCAGTATTAGTATGTAGCAAGTGCATAATCATCTATAACATACGTTTATATGCCGTTTGCTGTTAGCACCTGTTTCGAGCAACATTGTATCATTGTACCTTACATCATGTAACAAAAACTTAACTTTTCGTATATAATCTAAGGCATAAATTAAAAAAAAAACTGTACTGAGTTACATTGTTGTTTGTTGCTCCTTGCATGTGTTAATATTATAATTCATAAATAGCTACATATTATTAGATATTAATAATAGTAGAGACTAAAAATGTCCTTATTCTGGTTTTACACACAATAGAATACATAATACGAGTATACCTTGTATGGGTAAAAGTTACTGGTCGTTGTGAGGCAGTCATCTTGATTATTCTTCGTATAATTGTAGTATAATCTTATAAATAAAATATTGTGTGTATGTAAATGTGTTGCTAAGCACAAAACTCGAAACGGCTGGTCCAATTCGGCTATTTTTTTTTAAATATTCGTTGA